CTTCTAGACGCTCAAATAAAAGAACATAACACAAAACTATTAACTACACCAAATACATATCATAACTCACAAAACAACACAAATACAACACTAACTGCACCACAATTGCAAACCATAAGTCATTATCTTTGGTACCACAAAATTTCAGAAATATAGCCCTGAAAGAGCACATCTCTCTAAGACATAATTACCCACAAAGTACAGTTACCCACATCCTAACCTAGCAACCAAATGATGAAGAAACATATGATAAAATCATGGAACAACCACATACAACTAACTTTTGTTCTCAGAACAACCATCTTTTTAGCCCACGATGAGTCGACAGATTGGATCCCTCCACCGTTCAATTTCCTACCCAGCCAACCTTAAGCACCACATCCCAATCATCCCACTTGTTGCTCTCTCCCACCTGAATCACCAAATTCTAACAGCTCATCAAGCATGGATTCAAATGCTAACTCCGCTACAACTGTATATAACACTATCTCCCATTACAAAAATTCAGACATCGAAACACCCGACTCAGAACCCAACCTGTCTACCTTTTCTCAACCCCCCTTCTCAGTCCTCCACTCCCAAACTGAGCATTCTCCTTTCCCTTCGTCTCACATTGACGTGACACCCATTTTACTCCCCTTCACAAGCGACCCGCCAGATAACGATAGCACTGTAGACACCGAATAAGAAAATGAACTGGTTAGTTGCATAACGCTTCACCAACAATTACAGCACCCTTAAACACTAACCATTCACCAAGTCTCACAACCAATAATATCATCAGACTCTTCAAATCCACCACCTTCAACTGAAATGCGAGCCCACAGAAGCTTAAAACGCAAATTTCCCTACACCCCATTCCCTACCAGCCCTCAACCGGCTCAACCATTCACAAATCAACTATTTCATACTAACACCAAAGAGTTTCTTCAAGTACGTCTACTTTTCTTCCCACAAAATACTTACTTTCACTCGAACCCTAACAATGAACAACCTAACTGTGTAAATGAACATGTATTATATCCCACGCTTTCGTGGACTTCCTTCTATCACTTTACTAACCCACTATCACTACCATTGTATAACATTCCCGGTGATAATGAATTATGCCATACCCTACTCTACCACCTAACAACAGCCCTCACAGAAAAACAATTCACCAACATCGGTTATAATCAAACACTCACCAGATTCACAGCACCAAAAGCTAATAGATTTTCCATCGGCCACTATGATCATTCTATCACACGAGCAAACGAAGACACCTTCCTAGATGATGGCATAAACACAAACCCTCAACTCACAGAAAAATTTTTCATTAAATCACGATATGTTTTCACTCTAAATTCAATGATTAAAAAATTTGACCAAGTCAATTAAGTAGCACTCCGAGATACACAAGCTTACGACTCATACTTCAACAAAATCAACCAATTTACACTAACTTTTTACTTCCTCCCCAAAGAACGTGATTTGCACTGCTCACACGACATCATATTACGCACAAAACAAACGAACACCTACACTTATTACAAACTTTTTCAACGCCACTATTCTACTAACACGCCATCACGAAACTTAAATCACCGATTTCAATTTATTAACTCCAAATACACTTCACAATTTTTTCTAAACTTAATTTATTGCATCAAAGATACTTATATGCAAGGAATCATCCACAACTACAATCCCATCAGAGACAAATGTACATAATCTGCCCACTAACAGAAACCTTCAATTATGACGAATCCCGCCCACTAATTGTCCCACACGAGTATATACAGCCCGTCGAAATCCCGATTCTAGAATATATCCAAAACATTAAATACGATCAAAAATTTTATAACCTCATCCAAATTACACCGTATGAATTCTCACCAAGCACTGAAAAACACAAAATCTTCAAAGCACTCGAATTGATTTCGTCACTTCTTCAAACTAATTACATCATTCGCTTATTTGCTAACCTTCTAACATCATAAGATATTATCCACGATGTTTTTTCCATGGATTCTTCACCTATGATTAAGTAACTATGAATTGAATAATTTATACTAAAATTTACAACATACACTCGCCATTTTTTTTTATAAATGTTTCATTTTTTCTTTAGCTTCCATCGCACAATCATCTAAAACAAAGAAAAAAAAACAAAAAATTGAAAATTTTTTTAGACATTTGAAATTCATATTACCAAATTGCAATATATTTCAAATAAACAAGTAAAATTTACTGCCAAACAACAGTAATTTGATACATATTCCTCAATGTAGTAAAATAATTTTTAACAAGAACCAAATTTATTATTTCAACTCCCCAAAAGACATAAAATTGATAATTCGATGTAGTAAATTCATAAAAAAAGTGCAGATAAATTCAAAGTAGTACTAACATTTGCAACAAAACGCTTCTTTATCTCACTCGCCCACAACTCTTTCCACAATCGCACAGCTCGCCGACGAAGAATTGTTTAAAATAATGAAGGTTAATTTAAACTTTAACTGATAACAACTCTAACCAGTTATAACACGTTTCAAACTTGCATTTAACCCGGTTGGAAAGGATTTATATAGTAAACTAAACTAACCAACGCAGCTTACTAACACCACAAACCACCACCTAATAGCATGACTAAGAAAAGAAAAACCACGGTACCCAAAACAGATTAACAGCAGCTTGATAAATTGTTCATTTGAAGACCACTTTCAAGTCCTAAAACAAACAAATAAAACACCAAAAAGTCGAAAAACACACCCAAATCAAACTATTTGATTTTTGAGCAAAGGACAAAACCAAAACAAAAAAGGAAAAAACAAGTAATAGAAAAGGAACAAAAGGTTGAACACAAAAAGGGACACTGCACAAAGAGACCATAAAATTGCACCCCACTTCTGGCCTAACCCACCAGAGGGACGTTCTGAGCATGCTCTACAGCCGGCCTAACCCACCGTAAGACATCCACGCTTTGTGTCCCACACTCTATTTTTGACAAGAGTTACTCAAGGGTGAGTGACTCCTAAAAATAACCAGACTAAAATAAGAATGCTTTTGCGATAACCATTAATTAAACTCATGACTAAAAACAAAACTGACAAAAGAAATTTAGATATGTAATTGATAAACTGCAACATATATAGAATTCATAAAACCAAAAGACGAGCAGCAAAGAAGTTGAAAACCCAATCACACTCCAACTACGGAATGGCAAACATACCCAGTTTGCTGCCTACAGTCGCTACAATCAAAGGATTCAAAGTACGACTCAGCATCGCAGCAAAGGAAACCCATTGAACCAGACCAATGGTCATCTCGATGTTGAGTAAAAGTATGAATACTAGTCACTTGGCACTTCACGCGGAAAAGTCAAACTTCTTGCTACCCCGAGTCTCGCTTCTAACTTAACGAAATCAACACTTCATTACAACCAATCAGAAGTCTTGACACAATCTCCCAAGACTACCACGATCAACGAAGCCCACTTAGGAAAAAGAATATGACGATATTCACTCGTCAGACACCATCAAAAACACTTCTTCCTTCTCCAAAAGCCAATGCTCGCAACTTTAAAGAAGATAACAACATTGCCCATCCTTCATTACATTAAACATTTAAAACCTAAAACTCTCTAAAACCCGGGTGGGCGGAACCAGTTCTGGACGAGAAATTATGATTCGTTATAAATATGATACTCTATTTCTATAAAATTGTCCTAACTAACCAATCATATTCCATCCCTAACAGACACACTTATTTGTAAGTGCTGAAACTACTTGTAGTTTCAGCACCAGAGCCTTTTGAATTAAACCTAGAATATAGTTGTTCTCTTCCAGGATGAGTAGATTGAGATTAAGATTGGTAGAAGACAAAGAAGTTGCACGAATCTATGCGGCCGAAAATAAGATAGCAAGACGAACAGACGGTGTACCTTATATGAAATTACTCTATGAGTACAGGCCAAAAGTCATAACTCAGTACATACTCTTTCTATTCTTTACTAGATATGAATGGGGAGGAGGTAGGTAAAACGATCTGTTATAAAAAAAATTTAATACACCCCTGTTAAATACACCTTTTCTTGCATTAATACACCCCTTTTTGCAATCTCAATACACGTTGGCGCGACTTCAGTGGCCATAACTTATTGTTAATTTGCTATTTGAAGAATAAAGCGTGTATTAGATAAGCAGCAACCCATTTATCAAATAATGCGTGTTAGATGAACAGAGCGACCAAATGGCATAATGGAACCAGTTCTAAACTAGTATTTATAACCAATTTTTTATTGATAAAACTATCCCTGTAATATATTATTAACTAACAGTCACATTACTAACCAACACTGGGAATTATTTGTAGTGCTGAAACCACTTGTAATTTCAGCACCAGAACAATTTGAGTAAATCTTAGAAATCAGTTGTTCTCCTTCGGACAAGTTCCATAAAACTAACCCGCAAATACCAGTAAACACTAGATCTATTGAGACTAGGAGATATAAGAGTAAGATTAAGATTGGTATCAGACTGAGAATTTGCACGAATCTATCCGGCCGAAAATAAGATAGCGTGACGAACAGACGGTTTACCTTATCTGAAATTACTCTATGAGTATAGCCACAAAGACTTAAATCGATAAGTGATCGCTCTTTAACCTTGCTGTTTCAAATATTTCTTTTGAGATTAAGGAAATGGGGATAAGACCAAAATCAGTAATCAACTAAAGTGTTGCACGTAACTATACAGCCCAAGTTAGACAGCTTGATTAACACACTGTACTTCATCTGAAACTGTTTTTGAGATAACCCTTAATTTCATCTCATTTCTCAGTCTCCGGACATCCTTGTTTAATTTGGTACAAGGTTTATTTCATAAAAAAGAATTACACTTGCCTTTATTTGTCTATGTAAAATCATCAAATTATGAAACATGTGTTTTTGAATTGAGTTCGGTAAAATGCTCTGTTTGAAAAAGATCTGTTTGGAAATTGGATAAACGCTGGCCTACCTCTTTTTTCAATTCGGCATCCGCTGCTCCGCCTGTCACAGATACTATCAAAGAGGGCTCCGGAACATTCCAACTAGCGCGAATATGTTTCACCAAAGTGTCGACATCCACGTCATCGGCTATTCGCATGTAAGGCGATGGCCCTCTATCAGTTCGATTTTGGTTTTCAAACTGAACAGTTCCTGCACATCGCCACTTTGTCTTCTTGGTGGAAGTAGCCGAATCCCATTGTGAACCGTGACTTTTCTCGAGGACTTCCTTTTCATGTTTCTCTTTCAACAACCCGCACTGACATGTATTCGAATTTTTTCCTGGACAGAAAAGGTTGCATTCTTTTTCGTAGAAATGCTCGGCGTGCATACTTTCTGAAAATAACTGACTAAGTAAAACAATATTCCTCGTATATCATGATAAAGTCCTGGATGTTTTGACTGCCCTTCTAAATTGTCTTCAGTAAACTATGGCAAAAAAAGTCAATATCTCAGTGTCGTGGGAACAGTATGACTATTTAGCTTGCCTGATTTCAGTTCGAAAAAACTTTGTGGCCGGATAAAAACTCTTTTAAGCCTTCAGCATTCTTTGTAAAATCTTCAAAGGGCAAACGAGCAGTTAACGCCGACCCAAAGCGCAAGCTAGTTCATAGCACACCCCTTTGGGAACACACAGATTCGTGTACGACCCGCACCGAGCGCCCATGGAATCTAATCGATTATAATGGATTTCCGAGACAAAATTAATCGATTATAATCCATTTCGGATGTATAATTCAGACCACGAAATCGATTATGTAGCCATTATAATCAATTATTTTGAAATAAAAATCCATTATAATCCATTATAATTGATTATAATCCATTTCATTTTTAGAACTAAATTCGATTATTTTTGCAAAATTTTGGTTGGCTAAATGGTGGGAGGGGGTAAACTGGGGGAGGGGGATAGTAAACTGGTGGGTGGTAGTATACTGGGTACTGGGGGCTTAACTGGCTTGGGGGGGGGGGGGGGGGTTAAAATGAAGTGTTAAACTGCGATGAATTAGAAAAAGAATTTTTTTAATTCTATAAATTATATAATTTTTTTTCTTAAATGTAACATTTTATGAAACATAACACGTAGCAACTACACTAAACAGGAAATGAGGTAATTTTGAACAAAATTGTAAATTTCATAAATAACCCCTTATAAAAAATACATTATAATCGATTATAATCGATTACAATGGATTTTATTGGGATAAAAAACTTTAGGATTTTAATCGATTTTAAATGGATTATAATCGATCATTTTGTCCTTTTATAGATGCTGACCATATTATGATCCATGGGCGATCGGTGCGGGGACCACTGATGTGTTTACTTTCTCTCAGAAATTGGTCTCAAAAAAAGCACACTATAATCATCTAAAATTGTCACTTTCTTCAAAAAGCGGAATGATAATACTGTTATTTTCGGTGTGGGATTTTTGGTTTTTTTTCTTGTTCCGAATGCCGTTTATAATTTAATTTAATAAAGATATGTAAATTAAACTGAATAAACAAATGAAAGTATGAAGAATTGTGAAACCCGAACTGTAAAATTTGCCTCTATTCAGATCAAAAAAAGCACAAACAAAAGATTAGAAATTGAGCGCAAAAAATTAACCCAAGTCAGCGAAAGTGTCAAAATTCGAGTCCCATAATTTCTGGGGAAGTTTTTGCGAGTAAAAATCTTTTTATGATTTTTTCAATAAGTTTTATATCAGTAAGCACTATAGTCAAAGTTCCATAGAAAAATTATCAAAGAAAGTTAGTTAGAGATTTGAGGATTCACGGTAGAAAAAAACTATGAGTTTAAAAAATTTATAAATGTTCCGACTTTCGAAGAAAGTGACAAAATATTTGTGATCACGTTGTTTTTTCTTTATACAAGTTTCGACTTTCAACTATCTATTTTCGATTAATTTTCTTAAATCATTGAAAAAGTATTGTTTGCTGAGCTCGTCGAATTTAAAAAGATATTGTACATGTGATCCTTGTTTGGCAAAGTTATGGGGGTTTAAGATTGCTAATTTGGGACAAAATACGCACGATAATTTTTGTGCTAAAAACGCATAAGCGGAGATTTAACCCTTTTTAGAAATCACTTTAAATTGAATTAAGGCATGATATTCAGTCTACTTAAATTTTGGGTAGATGTGAAATGCATAATTGTGTTCAGCACACCCATTTGGGAGCACGCAGATTCGTGTATGACCACTGATGTGTTTACTTTATTTCAGAAATTAGTCTCAATAAAAGCACACTATAACCATCTAAACTTATCACTTTCTTCAAAAATCGGAATAATAAAGCTGTTAGTTTTGGTGTTGGATTTTCGATGTGTAAGTTTCTTGTTACGAACGCCGTTTATAATTTAATTTAATAAAGATATATACATTTAACTGAATAAACAATTGAAGCAATGTGAAATCCGAAATGTAAAAGTTTGCCTCTATTCAGATCACTAAACGCGTTAACAGAAGATTAGAAATTGAGCGCAAAAAAATTATCCCAAATCGGCAGAGTTGTCAAATTTAGAGTTCCATAATTTCTGGGTAAGTTTTTGCGAGTAAAAATCGTTTGATGATTTTTTAAAAAGTTTTGTTATCAGCAAGCAATATAATCGATGGTTCATAGAAAAAATTGTCAAAATCAGTTACTTAGCGTTTCGAAATTTTGCGGTAGAAAAAAACTAAAACTATGAGCATAAATATTTTGTAATTGTTCCGTTTTTCGCTCCGTTTTTCGAAGAAAGTGACAAAATATTTGTGACCATGTTGTTTTTTCTTCATACAAATTTTGACTTTCAATTATCCATTTTCGATTGAAATTTTTTGAATCATTGCAAAAGTATTTGTTTTTTGAGCTCAAATTTAAAAAGATACTGTACAAGTGATCTTTTGTTAGCAAAGTTATTGGGGTTTAAGATTGCTAATTTGGGACAGTTTTCGCACGATAATTTTGTGCTAATAACGCATAAGCGGAGGTTTAACCCATTTTATAAATCACTCTTAATTGAATTAGAGCATGCTATTTAGTCTACATACCTATTGGGTGCATGCGAAATGCATCATTTTGCTGATTACTTAGCGTGTTTGGTGTTGATTTTAAGAAAAATTAAAACGTTTTATTTTTTTGAAACTTTCATCAAATTTTTAAAGACCTTAAAAGCTGTTGTAAATTTCAGGGCTTCGCCCGGATACGAGTAGTGTTGTTTCTTTTGGAAATCGAAACAGTTTTCCATGTAAGTTTTTGAAGGCGTACACGAGACGAAGTGATTGTACAGGGTTGAACATTTTCGACCGACAAACACTAATACGCTATAACTTTGAAGTTCAATTTACATGAAGAATAACCAGATTCAAATTAAGTGTTATTGATCATAGATAAAAAGGACTGCTCGCATCAGGGCGAAGCTCTGATTGCTCCGACTGCCTTTTAAAGTCTATGGAGAGGTAATAACCTGAAAAAAATAATAATTAAAAAAAAAACTTTTTTGTAAAAATCATCCCCCACATGCCATATAAAGTACAACGTGATAAATTTTGCTCCCTGTAACAAACCAATTATAGCAAATAAGCTTCCTTCAACCGATTTCGAACGATTTCTAAGACGGATAAAATCTCCGCTTACGCGTTAATCGCGCAAAAGAAACGCGGGTTGATTGTACCAAATTGTCTAAAATGACAATCTCTGAACCCCCAGAACTTTTAAAAAAAAATTAAGTAGGTAGAATATTTTTCAAAATCTAAGCTCAGGACAACAATTCAAATGATATAAAAAGTTCTGTGAAATGGCTAGTCAAAAAGTCGAAACTTGTCTGAAGAAAAAAGACCCCGAGCACAACTAGTCCGTTATTTTTGTAACGAAAGTCGCAACAATAATTCTTTCTGACAAAAAACGATGCTTGACAAATAGAAGACGATAAAAGATGATAAAACGATAACAAACAGAATGAATTTGTTTCAGAGAAACAAAAAACAAAAATCAATTAAAATCGTTTTCTATAAGCATTTATAAGAAACAAAATTGGCCTAAATTCAAACAGTTAAATCAGCTACCCGTTACATGTTCATGTTCAGTTTTTATTGGCTAACCATATGCGAAAACAAATTTTTTCATTCCTTTGCAAGAGAAGTCATGATAGTGGTTGATTTTTGCTTAGGATTGAAAGACTTTATGAACTGATCAAAATTTAAAATTGCTGAGAGGTAATTTTGGATGTGAGTACTTTTTTTGACTAACCTTAACTCACTCGATCTTCCTGATGGCTTAATTATCTCCTACCTTGAAACATGTAATGTTGTAAGATTTTTAAGCTTACCTTTCATAAAAAAGCAAGTTTCTCTACGCTGAAAATAATTCGTAGCTAGTTTTAAAGAAAAAGCACGTTAGAAGTTGAAACGTTTCTCAAAACTCAAATGTTACACTTTTATTAACATGACCAAGTGTTTATCTGTACGACCACGCAGAGAATATTGCATTAATATAATACTTTCAAAATTAAATTTCATATTTTTTGAATTGATTAGCTGTTGCTAGCTTTGAAGAAAAAGCACGTTAGAAAATGAAAAATTGCTCAAAACATTACAGATATTTTTATTAACAGAATCTCGTGTTTATCTATACGACCAAATCAAGCTTATTTCTCAAACTAAGATTTTCATATTTTTAGAAAATGAATAACTGTTGCTAGCTTTTAAGAAAAAGCACGTTAGAAACTGAAAAATTGCTCAAAACTAAAATGTTATATATTACTAACAGAACCTCGTGTTAATCTGTACAAACAAATCAAGCTTAAAAGATTCCATATTTTTTTGAAATTAACCGATTGTTGCTAGTTTTAAAGAAAAAGCGCGTTAGAACCTGAAAAAATTTTCAAAACGCAAACTTCATACGTTTATTCAAAAGACAGCTTGTTTAACTTCACGATGACGCAAAGAAAATTCAATTAATATAAAAAATTTTCAGCTTACTTTTCAAATTACCACTTCATGTTATTTGAAAATAATCAATTTTCAGTGTTATTACAAAAAAAGCAGTTTACTTTTACGCATATGTGTTTTGTCCTAAGCTATTCAAAAGTCATTTGACTTTTGAAAACCTTGTTTTTGCTTTTTCAAATGTTCTCAAAATGAACCCTACATGAAATAATGGTCCAAAAGATCAAGGGCAAACCCAAAATAAAGTATCGCTAATTTAAGACAAATTGCCAACAAAATTATTAAAATAATAAAATGCATTTTTCCCGTGTCAGTTTCGCTTTCTGCAGTTTTTATTGGAAATCAGAAAGCACTTCGAATATGGAGTAGTTTAAGCTCCCTGTTCCAATTACTGAGTAAAACAAATCCGGTTGAAGCCGCAGGCGAATCACAAAAAAAAACTAAATTTGATGAAGATGGGTCTTCACAAAAGAATCCATTTTTTAAAAGTAACGACGCCGCATTTTATAAACGAATCGAATATCATATTATGAAAATCATATTTCAATATCAGACTAAAATCCCATCATGAAGTTTTCTTGTTTTTTTATGGTCACAATATATGCTGTTTTTTTTAATCCGATCATTGAAATTGGTGAGGAACGTTGTCTTCGTGTGTTTTAGTTTTATCAGTTCTTTTGTTTTTCAAAAAATGTATATCAAACTGAATTAAGTGATAAATCAAATACTGATCCTTAGAATTCTCATATTCGAGAAACACCGGCTGAAACTTCTTAGTCTACTTTTCAAGTGAGTAAACCGAATGATTAGTTTTGTTTATAAAATTTTTCATTTGAGTAGTCAAAAATACAGTGTTACAGAGTAAAAACTTCAGAAAGCTGGATGCTTTATTTAGAAGCTTTATTTAGCGAAAGCTTTATTTAGCGGAAGCTTTATTTAGCGCTTTAATTGCAATAATAAAGTTTAAAAAATCAATAGTTATTCTGCTCAATAAGTTTTTTTCTAGGTTCCTTTTTTGTTTTTGCTTGCTTGAACTGATTCTTCAGCCTCTTTTCATTCAGTTGATCCATAAGAAATCAAAAAAATCTGTTATAAAATTTATGGAAAAAATCATGCATTTAGCTTTCACGAATATCAACTGAGAGAGCAGCTGTGATTTGCAAATTAAAAGCGACATTTGAAGGGAGGTGAATAGTTGTTTATTAACCAGTCGAATATAGCCAATACAATTTCAGATTCTTCGTCAGCAGATCATTGAGGTTTAAAATATTAGCAAATTTGAAGATTTCTATGGCTTTTCGTTTATAATAGTAAACAGTATCTAGAATTCAAAGCTTTGCTATGTTATAATTAGTATGGAAAATGGAATCCTCTGCAGCAAAGTCTTATTTGTCGAAGTCCATTGATAAATGGGATCAAACATAAGACTTCAAATGGTTGTTAGAACTTGAGAACAAATTGAAGTTGTTGGAAACTATCTGAGGGCAAAGCTCAAAACAAGTATTTACTGAATGCCTTGAAATTTACCACTGTAAAATATTTAGAACTAACCAATCATGATACATTACTGAAAATTCCATTACGATAAACTTTAAAGCTGAAAATATTCATATGTTCAGTCAGAAAAAATAGTATAGTGATTGAAATTAGTTGATTTCTTCTCTCCTCTAACCTTGCAAGAGCTATCTGGCCGAAAATAAGAAAGCCTGACAAACAGACGTGTACGTTATTCAAAATTAATCAGTGATAAGGCCACCCCTGACCTGAACTCATCTGCTGGAACCAACTAGTCTCGAGCAGACCTAATTTTAACTTAGATTTAGAAGAAAAAAAAAAGTCAAAAAAAATCTAATCAAAAAAAGAATCAGCTTATTTCCGCGTCTCATTACGTCTAACTAGGCCGAGACGATCACAATGACGAAATTCGAGAACAACAAAAAACAAAAATTCAAAAATCTGCATCGCAAAGCAAAAAAGCAGCCAACGACAAAACTTGGAACAAATTTGTGCAGTAAATCTTCTTAACTATTATCAGAACTGTATTAAATAGAGCCGTACCCATAATTTATTGAGCGATATATTTTGAATAGAAATATACAAAAACAAGTACTAAATTTCAAGAAAAAAAACGTCTACAAAGAACTCTAACCATCTCAAACATCAAATCTGCAGGAAATTTTCTAAAAAAAATTGTTTCAATTTAATAAATTCTTTTAAAACACAAAAATGAAAAAAAAAGAGTAAGAAAGAAATTATTTTTTGTTTTGGTGAAAATTCCTCGCCCCATTTTTATTCTTTTTTCATCTTTCTTGTCTTTCCTTACCTAAAACAATTTAATTTTTACTAATTAACCTAGGGGTAAAAAAGATCATCAACCGTTTAAAATATCTTAAATTTTTCTAAGTATCTAATCATCAAGGCATCTCCTTGATTTTCAATCTTAAACACTAAACTTAATCATTTAAATCAGATCGTCAAAGCTTCTCCTTGGGTCTTTAACTTTAACCTTACACCTTAAGATTACTTTTTCTTCACCTAATTTTGTCTTAATCTTGGATTGTGAAGTGAAGGCTTTCTTTGGATCTAATGAATAATACTTTAAAAATCAAACCACAACCAAAAAAATAAAGGTCCACTGATCTCTTTCTTCGATACCCTTTCCAACTCTTCTAATCGACCCAGGACTAACTGTCAATTTTCCTCAAAAACTCATTTAAATTTAAATCAAGCTAAACAGTGAAAAACTTCTGTTTTCCATCCTTCACTTGAATGCCAACTCTCATTTCACCCAAGCCTATAACAATTTTTGAAACTAGAAGGCTCTGAGAGAAAATCTAACTTATGTTCTGATAATGTTCGAACCATGTGGATTGATTCACTTCTCTTCAACCCTTGATCTCATATCGAACTCCATTTAAGTGAGCGTATTTTAAAATGAAAACGCCATTTACGTTTTAGAGCAGAAGAACATCATTCTATCGAAACAATTCACTCTCTACCAAACCGTCTTATCACGACAAAACAAATCGAAGAAAAGGATAACATTCAAAAAAATTAAGCACCAACAGTTTTCGAAAAAAAAATATTAACACCCAAGTTTTGTATCAATGGTTCTAACCCTGATGTCAAATCAAGTCTAACAAACGTACAAACAATACTTCTAGACAATTGTCTTCAAGATTACCGACACTAGCTTGTCATATTCCCAATTAAATAAAACTTAAGATATACAATGGAGAAAACAATTGAAAATGAGAACTCTTATCGACAAGCAAAAAAAAACAAATTCCTACAAAGTCTACAAAAAACGAAACGCATTTTCAAAATCTGTCACAACAACCGTTCGCAATCTCAAAAACCTTTAAAATCAAATAAACGATCACAACAAAAAAGTCAACGAACAACGATAATTTTTTAAGCAACCAAAAGTTTCCAGCTGTTAAAATGGAAAGACAGCTATTAGATCATTACCAAACCATTATTTTAAAAGTAACCTCACAATATGGTATATTCACATTTGAAATCTTGCCTTCAGATTTACATAAGCAAACCCCATCACATAATGTTGATGTAATATTAAGCTTAAAAAATTTTTCGTAAAATGTATCAAAAATACCCAACATCAAAATCAATACGAGAAAGTTTTTTGTTTCACAAATGTTCTTTGTTCAACCATTTACAGCTATTTTAATACGCTAGATACAGACGAAAGTTTTTTTGTACCACCGCCATAAATCTCACGACAAGTTTCACTATAAAATTTCACAAATAAAAAGGTCGGCCGACAAAAAACATTAGCATCGCTTATAAGAAATTAAATCCAAGATAATATAGATCTTATAGAAAAATCTAGAGGAGAAATTGGCACAAACTGCAACAAAGACACCATTTTGGCAAATGAAACAGATAATGTTTGGGACCTCGAAAAATATTACGATATGTTCATCAAAAAATCAAAGTTTAGAATTGAAAAGAATTCTAGTCGTAGAAAGTGATTCAGCAGTAATCCCATTAACAACAGACGCTAGTAAACTACAATACGAGGTTTCACAAAAAAACATCCTCCAGAAAACTTAACTTATTTTTAATGAACACACAAGCAAATCTAAACAGACCTACAACACTAAATCACCAAGATTTTCAAATGCCTTCGAATTTTATTAACGATGAAAGATTTACATCAACATCAGTAACAACAGAACAAAGTAACTCAGTTATATAAACAGAATCAATTACCACGTAATAGGAATAGCATCCCGTTTCCACAGACGAAGGTGTAATCAGTTTCTAAACCAACTGTTATACACAAATAACCCCAAATAGATAACCAACAAAACAAACCAATAAAAAAAAACCCGCTCTTTTAGTAGAATAAAAAAGAAACATTGAAATTACTTTCCAAAAATCATTAGGATTTTTTGCAAAACTTAACATCAGTCGCCCCAAAAGCAAACCCAATTTCCACAAAACACTCACACTCTCTCACACATAATTACAACGAACAACCAT